GAATGAGATATCAACCGATCTGGGCGGGGTTGTTGTAGCCGCTACAACAACAATATGTCATCGGTATATGTCTTGTAGTAAATTGTTCCTGAACGGTTCAGTTCTGCAGCTCTTATTATCTTCTCCAACATCAGATTAAAGAAGTCATACGAAAGGGAGTCGCCCTGTCTGAAACCCCGTTTTGTGGCGAACGGCTCGGAGAGGCCTTTCCCAATTCTGACGGAGCTGGTGGTATTGCTCAACGTCATTTTACACAGCCGTATGAGTTTAGAGGGGATGCCAAATTCAGACAGCGGCGTATAGGCAACTCCTTTTAGTGCTGTCAAAAGCGGCTTTAAAGGCGACAAATTGGTTGTGAGTGTCGATCCTTTTCTCGCGGGACTTTTCCAAGATTTGGCGTATGGTGGATTTGCCAGTTCTAAAGCCACACTGATAAGGCCCAATCAGTTCATTGACGGTGGGCTTTAGTCTTTCACACAATACGCTCGATAAGACCTTGTAACCTATGCTTAGAAGGCTGATCCCGCGGTAGTTGGCGCGAATGGCGGGGTCACCTTTCTTATGCACCCCTATTGCGAATGTCGACTGGCAGTAGATAAACGACTATTTAGCGACGGTCGATTATCGATGCTATTGTGAGTGTCGCTTAGTCGCTCAATTAGCGACTGTGAATACTTTTTAATCGCTCCTCCTTCTATTGCTGTTTTTAGTCGTTGGAGTTTGCGTTTGTACAATTTAAATAAGAAGGTATTACTATAATGGATAAAAAGTAAGTCAGTTAAACAGGAAGTTGTAAAAAATTGTGAAATATACATATGTATGTATGTGTCTGAATTACAGATCAAAAATTGTAAGCAACAAAAGGCAACTTGCGCGGTTGGTCGAGCTGATGCAGGAGAATGAGGACATAGGCAAAGGAATTTTCGGAAAGAGTAGGCGCGGAGGCTCCGCTTCTATTGTGAAAGATATGCAATATATCTTGTGCTTATAACTCCGGCTACGTCATCCACAGAGTTTTTGCGCAGAACCAACATCAAAGTTTACAAGCAACTGCATAATTTATTAATTAACTAATGCTTTGAAATTTGAAATCTTTATTTTAAATTAAAGTTTAATTCTTTCACTACACTTTTATGTTAAAGTTTTTAATCTCGGGTCACGCGTTTGGACACAAATACCCAACATCATTGTACAAATAGCTAAACCGTACCGTATTTCTTAAGCCTCCATAAAGTTTATTAACGAGAAAAACAGCTTTTCCTGCAAATCCTGTAAAACGTACAAACCGTGAAGCATCTGGAACGCGACTTCTATTCATACAATTCTCATATGTACATACACTTCACTTCCGACTCCAAGGGATCCCACGAATCTCGCAATTCCCTCCTTGCTTTAGCCAACTCTACTAATCTATTAGCTACAACATCATCTTCCTCATCACTAAGCCATATTTCAACTGTATCCATTTTTTAAATTTTATAATAAAAGCAATTATTTTAAAAATGATGTAAATGAAACACTAAAGAAACAAATGTAAACAAACAAACAACTGTTTACAATTTAGTTAACCATTCACAATAGTATACATTTTTATCGATCAAGTTACAGAATAGCCAAATAAAAGATGATCGACTCGATGGGCAAATTTCTATTCTACTGCCAGTCGACGCTCGCAATAGGGGCCATGGATTGGGCAGAGCGCACTTAAATTCCAGTCTCAGCTGGCAGGCTGTCAGCTCCAGCAGCTTTGTTGTTTTTCAGCCGCGATATTGCCGCGTCAGGCGGTGGAACGTCGACTCCGTCATCATCGACTGCGGGCTCGGGTTCTTCTTCACAACTTTCCGTGCTGCTACCATTTAGTAGGGCGGAAAAGTGTTCCCTCCATAATTTAAATACGCTCTGGACATCAGTTACTAGGTCGCCATTATTGTTCTTACAGGAGTACGCCCCGGTCTTGAAACCTTCCGTAAATCGCCTCTGGTAAAATTTTCGGGCATTCTTCCTATCGGCCAGCATTTCAAGCTCTTCGCACTCACTCTTATTGCGGCAAATACGTCTCGCTTCCCTCTTCATATCCCTATAGCGCGCCCGATCGCAACGTGGCCCTGTAGGCGGCGTCTTTTTTCTCTGCAGCTTCCTGACACTCCTCATCATACCAGTTGTCCTTTCGGGCTCGCTGAAATCCGACTACTTCTTCGGCGGCGGTACTTAATGAGCGGGAAATGTGGTTCCACCTTATAAATGAACTGTCATAATTTGTATGGAAACTCGTTTACACATTTCTGATTAATTTCTCCAGCGATTTCACTGAATACTTAATAAACTGAAGGCAATGCAACTCTGTCGCAACTCCAGCTATGTTTTCTTGGGCAATAATCGGGATCCGCATAAAAATTTTGCACGCAAGTTCTGCAATTAATTCAATTCTTATTCCTTCAATTATTATTCCTTCTGTTTGTTCTGTTTCACTGATAATTTGGCTGCAAAGTTTGGTAGCCGTGACAAATGAATTCATACACAAAAAGACATTCTGCCATTGTTTCTTTTAACTAGCTTCAAATAAATAGGCTGCATGTTATATGTATATTTATTTCATTAGATATCATCTCGTAAATATAACTTTTTCCCATTTAGTGAGTTAGTTTCTACAATTTCTTTATCCTCGTGTTAGTAGTATAAAGTTAGTGATACTGTGCTCTATAACCAAAGAAAACACGACTATTGTCGCAAGTGTAAACGAAAAGACAGGTCGTTCATGTAACAGAGTGCGTAAACTTATAAGATTATCTGCTTGATAAAGTTATCGGTTTGGATGAATACCACTATTATACATGACCATACATCGTCGCCTGAACAAATGATTGTCGTATGTTACAACTGTCCAAGACCGATAGAATACAAGATTGCGCTGATGGAAGTGAAATTCGGGAGAGTAACGTTAATATGACGTCATCGCAGATTTGCCGGTGGAGAGAGCTAAAGGGCCGTTTACACGAGACATTCCTCGCTTTGTTTGACAATTCGAGCTTGGACAACAAAGCGTGAAGCGTAGAAGTATGCTACAATAAACGATTTGACAGTTTCTGCGTTCTCCTTTTCCTCTATATTTTATCTCTGTAAAATAGAAAACAACATAATAATATGCATTAATAATAGCAATACGAATTCCTATTTACCTTATTTTTGTCATTAAATGCAAATGCAAGTGCACGAGAAAATATACATGTAGACACCTGATTGCCAAAGCGCGCAAAAGTTGAGAGTTGCCCATAACTTTGCCTCGCTTTCTTTTCCTCGCATTCTATTTAGCAAGACTCATAAAACAATTTATTGAACTTATCTGTCAAAGCGGAACTATGGAGCAAAGCGAAGCAAAAGTCTTATGTAAACGGCCCTTAAGAGAGATCTGTCAGTATGTATATGTCAAGAATGATATAATAAAAGATTGCGCCCATCAGAGAGGAATTTTGAGAAAAATTTTTGCGTGACGTCACACTGGTGCAGCTGTGAGAGAAAAATGCCAAAACGATGTCGCGTACTGGCCGCAACAAACTTTCTTTTGTATATTCCTTCGTTTTACCCTTATTTCCTTTCACTCCAACCGATAGGAGCGAACTCTACATCTCAAAGCTTCCTCAACCACCAGAGGGTGTCAATATTGTCTCTTATGCTGACGATTGTTCGATCATGGCGTCTGGAAATGGAATTGATGACTTGTGCTCGAAAGTAGACGGTTATCTCGCCGAACTTTCTCGCTTCTTCAATGCAAGGTGCCTTGACCTATCTCCTGCGAAATCCTCGGTAACCCTATTCACCACCTGGACGAAGGAGGCCAGACTGCAACTGGGTATTCACGTTGATGGCGTAACATCACCGTCGGTGAATAACCCGTTACCTTTGACACTCTGCTCTCCTTCTCGGCGCATACAACCGCAATTGTCAAGAAATTACAGAGCCGCAACAATGTCCTCAAGTCGCTGGCCGGCAGCACTTGGGGAAAAGATAAAGAAAACGTTGTTGGCCACATACAAGGCAATTGGCCGGCCGATTCTAAACTATGCAGCGCCCGTGTGGTCACTTGGGACTGGCAGGACGCAGTGGATGAAGCTAAAGATTTGCCAGAACACGGCACTACGAACAGCGACCGGATGCCTCCTGATGACGCCCTAACACCACCTACACCACCTACACGACGAGGCCCAGATGCTCCCAGTCAAGGAGCATAACGCAATGCTCTGCAATCAATTCCTCGCGGGCAGCCACAGACGTGGTCATCCCAGCAAACAGCTGTTTGCAGAAGAGCCCTCGCCAAGGCACGTCAGGAGGCATCTCCACTAACTGACGGACGAAGCGCAGAGGTCCATTAAACAACAAGTGTCGCTACCGACGCACGCCCCGACCACGGCATAAGTATCCTCTGTGTTGTTGCCTGTACCTGGCTAGTAGAGTTGTCGGTAGTTTTTCCCTATTGTGTTCCCTATCCCTTCTTTTAGTATCCCGCACCCAGAGCCCAGTCACTTGGCGGGTAAAAGTTACCCCCGGCAGCTTGGGTGGTATTGCGAGTGGATTCCTGTAGGTGTTCATTCACTTACGCAAAAATATTGATGCATCAAAATAAAAGCAAAATGCAATGGGAACCTATGTACATTCATATGTATATACTACGAATAGCTATGTACTTTAGCGGCCTAATTATGTAAAACGCCGTGACACTTTGCGTCCCAGTCACTCACATTCACATTCACCAAAAAGTTCCTATTATATAACCTTTTACGTTTTCGCGTTCATCCTGTTGCGTAGTCACTACGACTGTCAAACAGATGTTTACACATTACGTAGTCCCTTCGGCCACCCTTTTTTTTGCTGTAATTTCGAAAAAATTTGCATTGTTTTTTTTCGGAATAAAAGTGTTTCACTGAGTGGGTAACACTGCGATGCCGAACAGCTGACCAAATAAAAATAAACAAAAGCGCGAAATAGTAAAAACTGTTTTATATGTATTGCTGCTCTCTATACAGATAATGTTTTCGATCGGAGGCTATCTATCGGACACCAGCGATAGTGATGAGGAAGGCAATGCGAGCTTTATGCGGGCAAGTAAACGAATGCTCCGAGACAATTCCAATCTACTCGAAATTCCCGACAGAGAGTAGGTTTATTTAAGGATTATATACCTTCGGCTGAGTGGAAGATCGCCCTATCTCGACTGTCGGTTCGAAAACGCCTTATCTCAGCAAAGGGTTGAAGAACGCCTTATTGCAGAATTTGATTGAAGCTGCCGATATACATATTGAATATATAGTGAGATAAGGCGTTTTTAAAGCAGCAGCTGAGACAGGGATTTTCTGAACCATTTGCTGAGATTGCCCACTGTTCAACCATAGGGTGGTCTTCCACTCAGTCGTCGATATGCGAGTTATTAAACTAATGTATAAACTTTATTTTCCTTTAAGGTTCGTAAAAAACTTTAGAGTTTCAAAGCGAGTTTTTAAACTTATTTTGGACGAAATGTCACAACACATGGCTAGTGGATGCAGAAGCAGCAAAGTGGCGCCAATACATAAGCTGTCTGCTTTTTTAAGATTTCTGGCGACAGGCAGCTACCAAAAAGGCGTCGAAAATGAGTTTCTATCCAGCATGTCCCAGCCAATGGTTAGCAATGCCATAACAGAGTGCTTGGAAATTTTTGAAACAAATTTTTGTCCAAATTGGATAAAGCTGAGGATGACAGAAGAAGAGGAAAGCGCTGCCAAAGAAAATTTTTATGTCAAATGTGGGATACCGGGTATAGTTGGATGCGTCGATGGAACCCACGTTAAGATTAAATGCCCAAGTGAGGACACAAAGCATTTATATTATAATAGGAAAGGCTATTATAGTATAAATGCAATGATAGTAAGTGATTTTTGCTTATTTTTACTAAGGAAACTAATTTCTACGTACATATGTATGTATTTAAGATTTGTGATCATGTACTTTGCATACGATACGTTGACGCCAGGTATCCAGGCTCAAACCACGACGCATTTGTTTGGAGTGCAAGCAGGGCGGGAGTTTTTTTCAAGTCACAGTTTGACTCTGGTAACCGAAACACTTGGCTCTTAGGTAAGACAAAAGGAAACTCCTAATCATTTACTTCTGTATTTTTCAATTTTAATTTTCCTTAACTTGTTTAGGAGATTCCGGTTACCAGCTTATGCCGTACCTGATGAGACCTTTCCGTAGTCCTGGCAATCAAACTAAGACACAATTCAACATGAAATTGTGCAAAGGCCGCAACGTTGTAGAAAGGTGTTTTGGAATTTTAAAAAACAGATTCCGTTGCATAATTGGGGAAAGAGGGTTGCATTACAGTCCGGAAAAGACAACCCAAATTATTAATGTATGTTGCGCTTTACACAATATTTGTATATTTTACAAAGATGAGTGGGTACAAGTTTAAGAGGATGATGTTGCATACGTAGAAGAATTCGGGGGTAACGTATCACCTGAAGCGAGAAACATCAGGCAAAGGCTCGCAGAAAGTTTGTTGTAGAGCATTATCACTATACAAATAAAAAAGAAAAAATTTAATTTTTATTTAAATTTCTTGTACTGTTGGTTAAAAGGTAAGTAGAAGTATTCCACTCAAGAAATTAATAACGTTGAAAAATATGGCATATTTTGTATGTATTCAGAAAATTCGATTTCAATACAATACTGATTGCGTCTTTAATAAACTAACGAAAAATTTTTAAAATTAAATTGAATTGTACTTCATATCACAGTTATATATTAATAATAATAATTAATATAATAATAACAATAGTAATAATGATAATAATACTAGTAATAATAATAATAAAAATCTGTGGTCATAAGCAATAACCGCCTAAGTCGAAAAACCTAAGTTCGAGAAAAAACGTCTTAAATATTTGCAGCCTTATTAATTAAAAATTAAATAGCTTTAAAAAAGGTTTATAAATTGAAAAATTTATGAAAACGTCACTTTATAAAGCTCTTTAAACCTACTTTATTTTTTATGAATAAGGCCATTAGATTGTAATGTTAATCTTATGGGGAAACCAAAATATTTTCTTGTGTATTTGTATTTGGAGCTTTTCGGCCGGTGTGTTGAAAATAAAAACAAAGTTTATTTTTTTCTCCTACGCGTTTCGACGCATTTTCGCGTCATCTTCAGGGAGTCTGTTTATTAATTTGCAAAAACGAAAAACATTATTAGTAACAATCAAAATTATTTAGAACAATACAAACATAGTTAGATTTCAACATATTTGACTTACATTAACATAAAATTTAGTTTAATTATTCACAATTTAAAAAAAACGACATAAATACATTTTCCGGACACCACATTTAACATTTAGCAACTTCTTTATCTTCCGATAGTTAAACATTGTGTGTTATTGCAGTAGCATATGCACAGTTTATATTGTCAACATCTTCTTTGTAGTTCATTGCTTTACATATATTTTGTTGTATGCGTAGCCCTTCTAATGTCATCCGCTTTTTAGTTCTGTTCTCCACGTCTAAAATTCTAGCGTTGGCGAAATCTGCTGTGTGATTGTTTGTGGTCAAGTGCTGCGCTAACGCTGTGGTGTTTTTCTTATTTTTGGCGT